CTGCTCACTCTCAAATAAATAAATAAATAAATAACCTTTGTCAGCTGAAAAGTTTAAAGACCTTCCCAAATGCTCCTTTTAATAAAGAAGCAAACACATATGGTTTACATGCTTTGCAGAATATCACACACACAATAGTGCTAAAGTGGTAGTTAGAAACTAATACTCAAGTAATACATAATTTCCTCATTTTTCCCCCATTCTTTGACATTTTAATTATGTAGATTTCTTCCCTCAGCAAAAAAAAATACCTTGGAACAGAAGAGTTGAGCTACTTCAGCAAACATACACACATAAAAATCAGAACAGTTTTAGTCCTGAGGAATACACTTGGTAACATACTGCTGTTTTGGGTGCTACTGACTTTATTTCATAAACGCAACACATGCTGTTGTAGTTGCTGCATGAGTTACTTCTCCTCGGTCAATCCCAAGACTTAGCATTTGGAAAAGCAGAAAGGCATTGGATTTTGACACAGAAAACCTGGGTTAGAACCCCAGCTCTGCCACTTCTGCCTGTAACTTCTTGGGCAAGTCACTTAACTTCTCAATCTTTCTGTAATAAATAAGGATGATAATACCTACTTTACAGGGTTAAGATGAGAATTAAAAGAAAGCACTTTATGTAGGGCAAAGTGCTATATGAAAATAAAGTAGTAGTACAATTCCCTATCTCTCCAGGCTGAGCAGGGTTTTAGTCAAAAAGAAGTTAAGTGGTTTTCCCATAGAACTGAATTATAAGTACTTTCAAAACATTCATCACCTTCTATTATTCTTTTGCTATAGTTGAATTTAATGATGAAAATGTAATCCTGCTGTCCCTGATACAGTATATTCTTGCAAAATCTTTCAATAGATGGAATTTAATATGTTTTAAGAGATCTTTATGCTTAAAACAGAATAGTAGGCACATGAGGAATATGAAAATGCATATAACACTGTTGGGAGAGAACATTTATAAAAAGTACTATTTGAGTGCTATAGCAGAGATAAATGTGAAGCATAATTAAAATTTTATTTACAAAAAATTTTACTTACCAAGAGACTGATCTGCTTGCTGTAGTGTGCTAATTAAAATATTCCATCAAAATATTTTTCTTGATTGCTGAGCTTTTTGGCACCCCTTAAAATGTTGTGCCTAAGACAAATACTTCCCGTACTGTAACTTTGTCCTGGCCCTAATAAATGCAACGAAGGGCAAAGGTTAATTACTGCAGAGGGATTGGTGAGCATTTCATGGAGAGCTGGATCTGTAAAAGATGGGGAGAATTGGGGCAGCTTCTAAAGAGAAAATGATTAATACTACTCCATCAGATTGCTCTATAAATGTTTCCTTCCTCTCTTGCTATCAATATTATACTTAGCTAAATCTGCTAAAAATAAAAAATTGATATTAACATTCTATTACTACATTCTATTTCTGTATTGTCCTTCCTTTCTCCTTCCTTCTTTCCTTCTGCTTTTTTTTTTAAGTCTATTTATACATACTGAAAAATCTTGAGTAATGCTTTAGTTTTTATCTTCTCACAATTCCCACTGCAAATGTTATTATTTGCAACTGCCCAAAACGTATAACTGGTACAACTTCAAGGAACCACTTAGTTTTCTTTCTTACAAATTGGGGGGGGGGGAGGTGTGTGTGAAGGGAGGGGTGGATTGAAAGAGGCTATTATACGTATCTGGAAATTTAACCCTAAAATTCCAAAATATTTTCAATAAATACTTTAATATGTGTATTATTGAGGAATTGTGTTCACCTGCTAGTAATAAAGACTAGAAATAATAGTGTCTTAAACAAAATAGAAGTTACTACTTCATTAAGTAAAAGCAGTGCAGAAGTAGGCATCATAGAGCAGGTATGGTCATCTTTGGCTCAGGTTCCTTCTAAATCTTTCACCATCCTTGTGTGTGGCTTCCAATTCTTAGGCTTGCCCTATGGCCCAAAATGGCTACTCGAAATCTAGGCATCTTGTCCTCATTGGAGGGCAGAAGCAGTCCAGAAAAGAGGGATCCTATCCAGAAGTCTCAAACAACACTCCCATCATGGGTAAAAACTTAGTAATAGGACACACTCAGCTATAGGGAAGGTGGGCAAATAATTTCTCAGCTGGGCTCACTGCCCAGGGTTCTGTTACCAAAGAAGAGAATGGAGTGTCAACTTAGGTATGATTATCCTTTTAATTTTTTTTAAGAATTGAAGGCAAATACCAACAATATGAAGTCAAACAGAAAGTATAGTATGATTTTTAAGTCAATTTGCTTGGCTTTATGAAATTAAATGGTTGAATTTGGAACCACTAATTTTCCACAATTTAAAGAATTGAAACCCAAAAAGGAATTTATAGCTTTAAGAAATACTATGGGTCAAATCTGAGATCCATATATATAGTTCCTTTTTTCATCATGGAAGTTCATTCTATGATGAAAAAGTGGATGTCAGTTATTGTCATTAGAAAAAGTATGGGGGAAAAGTATGGATTTATTCTGACAATGAACTACTTATATTTCTCTCTCTCTCTCTCCCCTCCCCTCTCTCATTGTTTCTCTCTCTCTCCTCTCACCCTCCCTCATTCCATTGCTCTGCTTAATTTAGACGTCTAATTTTTCACATTTAGCATTCTAAAAATACATCCTAAGGAAAGGTCTCTACCAACAAAATGAATCTTGGAATTAAGGCAATTATCTGAAATCCAAGCAGAAATCCCACTTTCACCTCAATTATTCAAATAATTCAGATAATGCAAAGGGTTTTGCTTGAATTCCTTAGATAACTGTTTCATTTTTCAACTTTACAATGCCAGGGTCATCACCCAATAACAGATTTAATTTTGATTTTTGTAAGTAATATTTGGACATTTTTTTCTCTGAAGACTAAAGACTCCTATAACTCCTAGACATTTCTTTTGTCTCAATTTTTGTCCACTTTCTAATTTCTTAAATCACCCTGCTTTTTCCTCAATCTCACCCCAGTGACTCCACTAAAAGGTGGATCAGGAGAGCCAATTTCCAAGGTCTCTGCTCTGCTTTCCTGCCTATAGGAATAGTTGCTCCCTATTCTTTAATAATCCCATGAACTGGGCTTCCTCTGTTCAAGGCAATGGGTATTGTATGGTAATATTTTTAATTATTCTAGGTTTAGTCCTAAAGAGTATTAATGAAAATGATTATAACAAATATTGTTTTTCATTTAAATAATTACCTTTTTTAGAACTATTATTCTCAATTTTCAACTACAGCATTTGGAAGAGAAAATAGATTTCTTACAGTGATGAATAAGATTCAATCCTCATGCTGTCCTGCATATTTGAAGATAATCCTATAAATCCTGGTGATAGAGATAACAACTAACATAATCCATATTCCTCTTCTTGACTGATAAAAGAAATTTATTTATAAAAGCCCCTATCCCCTAGCCTCACTTGCAGCTCTGCATGACCAGTGACTATGCTCTGACCAGGAAAATATAAGGGGAAATGTTGTGAAGACCAAATAGGAGGTTCCTTAGAAAGAACTGACTTAACTGGAAGAATGGCCCTTTTGTCCTCCCTTGCCTTCTTCTGTGGGCTGACTTGAAATGAAGAAATGATGTCTGTAGCAATAGCAACTATGTTTGACCATGAAGTAGCCTTGTGATTGGAAACTAAGTGCTGAGGATGATGGAACAGGAAAATAGACTAATAGATTAATCAGCCCATCTTTAGATAGCCACAGTAACAACCCTCACATTCCCATCCAAAACTGATTTCGAGAGGAGGAAATAAATTTCTATCCTGATTAAATTGTTACTATTTAGAGTCTTTCTCTTAT